TCAAGCGAGTCTCCTGCCTCAGTCTCCCAAGTAGCTGGGACCACAGGCGCCCGCCACAATGCCCAGCTATTTTTTTTGGTTGCAGCCGTCATTGTTGTTTGGTGGGTCCGGGCTGGATTCAAACCTACCACCTTAGGTGTATGTGGCTGGCGCCTTAGCCACTTGAGCCACAGGTGCTGAGCCAGCTAATTTTTCTTTTTGAGACAAGAGTCTCACTTTGTCACTCTCAGTAGAGTGCCATGGCATCACAGCTCACAGCAACCTCAAACTCTTAGGTTTAAGCAATTCTCTTGCCACAGCCTCCCAAGTAGCTGGGACTACAGAGGCCTGCCACAGCCTTGGCTATTTTTTTTTTTTTTTTTTTAAGAGATGAAGTCTCACTCTGGCTCAGGTTAGTCTCAAACTCATGAGCTCAGGCAATCCACTTGCCTTGGCCTTCCAGAGTATTGGGATTACAGGCGTGAGCCACCGCACCTGGCCTAATTTTTCTATTTTTTGTAGAGATGGGGGTCTGACTCTTGATCAGGCTGGTCTTGAACTCCTGACCTCAAGTAATCCTCCCTGCCTTGGCTTCCCCAGTGCTAGGATTATAGTTGTGAGCCACAGCCTAGCCAGAACAGACTTTGGGATGTGGACTGTTAATGTCACATTTTACTACTGACCACCCAGTCTTCCATGGGAGGGGACTAGACCCAGCACTTGAGAAACAAAGGGGCTAATTCAATGCTGGCAAGAGGCTGACAATGAAAGCATTCTACCCTGAAGGCATATACAGCAAGCAGCTTCATAAGCAGGACAGGATAGTCCCCGTACTTCCAGGAGACACAACAAGATAGATTCTGAAGGGCTTCTTAGGGCTCTCTCCTTGCTACCTAAAGGACTAAGATCTTGATGATCTATTACTAGAAGTCATCACAAGTTCCTAGAGAAGAATGTAGTTCTCTGGAGAAACCAAAGAGGTTGAGGAGGTTTGGCTGGATAATGCTGTGTGTGAAGGAAGGAGGGCTGAAAGGAGTAGGGCATTCATGTGGCTCTGGAGTAGATGATTTGGAGGAAGAAAGGGGAAGAGGTGGGATAGGAGGGAGGTTTATACTATAATAGGTTTGTTATCAAGAGTAGTGAGGAGAGGATGGTTAGGGAGACAAAAAAGAGCAAGGCAGGAAGGAGAAGGCACTGAAACTCAGAAAAGTAAAAGATGATTCTGAGGATCGCTGATGAAAATGAGGAAGGAATCTGAGAGGCAGGAACTCACAGGATGTTGGATAGGAGTGTGAGAGATCTTAGAATGGGAAGGTGTATAGTTGATGAAGGATGGGTTCCTGTTAGTATAGAAAGAGTTCACTCCATGGAGGCTGGGCACATCAGGAGGCTACTAGATAAAGGGCTAACTAGATGAAGTTTCAGGTAACAGATGTAGCAAAGGTGGGCAGAAGTGCAGGCAGAGCTAAAACACTGAGAATGAAAATAGGAAGAGATCCCAAGATGAAAGAATACTGGGCTAGAGGATTTTAGAGTATATAGCCACATGCATTCCTGGGGGCAAAAGACTTAACAAGATGACAGTCTTTGGGGTAAGGTGCCAGGATGAATGAGATCACAGGGTAAGGGCTGGGAGTTTCAAGTACTCATGGAGTAGATATATGGGCAAAGAATGAGGAGTCCTAGTAAGTTGACTTGGTTTAGGACATGCTACCCCAAAAATATGGGTCACTTTACCTGGCCCTTCCTCCCTGAAGGTCATAAAACCCTCACGTGAGAAGTACCCTCACTACACCCAGAGGAAATAAGCACCCTTATCTCTAGAGACACAGGGTCACAGAGAATAATATGAAAAAACAGGCTTGCTAAATTTCCCCCAGTTTATTACCATTAGACTACCCTGTTTGCCTTGTTGTATTTTTCCACAACTATCCACTCTTCATCAAACCTACCATAAAAATAGCATTTTGGGGGGTTAACCATTTCGTTGGGTCTTCATTTTACTATTAAGACACTTGTGTCATATAAAACGTTCCCCCCCACCCCAGCCCCTGCCCTGAGACAGAGCCTCAAGCTGTCACCCTGGGTAGGGTGCCACGGCATCACAGCTCACAGCAACCTCCAACTTCTGGGCTTCAATTCTCTTGCTTCAGCCTCCCAAGTAGCTGGGACCACAGGCGCCTGCCACAATGTCCGGCTATTTTTTGGTTGTAGTTTTCATTGTTGTTTGGCAGGCCTGGGCTGGATTTGAATCTGCTAGCTCTAGTGTATGTGGCCGGTGCCTTAGCCGATTGAGCTACAGGCACTAAGTCTGTGTCATATAAAACTTAACATTAAATAAATCTGTATGCTTCCAGCTTTGGGGGAAAAAAATTCTGTTTTTTTTTTTTTTTTGAAACAGAGTCTCACTTTGTCTGTTGTCCTTGGTAGCGTGCTATGGTGTCACAGCTCACAGCAACCTCAAACTCCTGGGCTTCAGAGATTCTCTGCCTCAGCCTTCCAAGTAGCTGGGACTATAGGTGTCTGCCACAATGCCCAGCTATTTTTAGAGATGAGGTCTTGCTCTGGTTCAGGCTGGTTTTGAACTTGTGAGCTTAGGCAATCCACCCACTTCAGGCTCCCAGAGTGCTAATAATATTATAGGTGTGAGCTACCGTGCCCAGCTATTTTTCTCTTGTTAATGTTTTTTGTTACAGTGAACCTAAAAAGATATTTTGCCTTCCATACAAGATGCAGGGGTCTCAGGGGACATGGAGCCAAAAATCATGAGTAATAGGGATTCAACTAAAACTTTATCTAAAACAAATAAAAACAATGTAATCTAATCATTTGCACCCTCATATTAATCTGAAATATTCATGAATAGGATGAGAAAGTCACCAAGCCATTGGGAAAAGGGTTATGAAATGATCTAATGTTGGGTTTAGAAATTATTAGAAAATAAGGAAAAAGGGGCTGAGGTTGCCCTGGAAAACCAGGTAGGTTTGGGAGCAAGAGAGACAAAGAGTTTTTTTTTAACAGATTGTGGGTTCAAATCTCAGCTCTGCTACCTTACCAGAGTGTTTCTGGTCATTTCTTTAAAACAAAATTTAAAAAAAGTAGAAAGGGGAAATGGTAGTGAATTGGGTTTTTGAAAAGTACAAGCTTAAAAAATATACAAAGCTTGGCACACAGTAGGTATTCAGTAAGCCAATCAGTATTAAGGCAATCTCGGGGTAAAGAACTAGAGAAGTGAGGCCACAGCAGAGATAAGAGGATGGGGATTCCAAGGTGTCAGTAGAAGATAATGCAAAATATAGGCATGTATTCATTGTTGTTGAATTCCTAGCACCCAGGACAGAGTGACACCCACAGAAGATTCTCAGTAGCAACAACAGCTTATACTTCAGGATTCTCACATGCCAGGCATGGTGCCAAGTGTTTCACATGTGTTATCTTAGGCACTATTATCCTCCCTTAGCAGAGGTGGAGACTGAGGTTCAGATAGGCTAAACGGTATGCTAAAAATCCCATAGCTAAAGAACCAGAGTCAGACTGGAACCTAGGTTTCTTATAACGTCAGTACACCAAGATGAAGCACTCTGCTATACTGGTTTGCAAACATGTTAACTGACTGGGCCTGATCAAGGGAAATGGATATGAACTAGACAGAGTGTAGGGCATCATGGGAATGAAAGATTCAAGAAGCCTGTGGGCCCTCTGGTGAGGTTCCAAGAGTAAGTTTGCAGAGTGGGGTCTAAAAATGACTGCAAACAATTATTATCTTGACTGAGAATTGCAGAATTTCACAACTGGAAGGAAACTGAGATCATCTAACCCAACTTCATCACAATAATGAGAAACTGAGCCAAGAATGAGGAAGGGACTTCTTCCAGGTTCCCAAAGTACAACAGTGGCAGAGGTAAGGACTTGAATCTGGGTTCACACACCAAATCCACATTCTTTGATGCCTCCAATTATTTCTGTCTTTCTTTTCTTTTTTTTTTTTTTTAGAGACAGAGTCTCACTTTATGGCCCTTCGTAGAGTGCCGTGACGTCACAGCTCACAGCAACCTCCAGCTCTTGGGCTTAGGTGATTCTCTTGCCTCAGCCTCCCGAGTAGCTGGGACTACAGGCACTCGCCACGATGCCTGGCTATTTTTTGTTGTTGCAGTTTGGCCGGGGCCGGGTTTGAAACTGCTTTGGTATATGGGGCGGGCGCCCTACTCACTGAGCCACAGGTGCCGCCCAGCCTCCAGTTATTTCTACTTCATATTTATCTCTACACCCTCCTTAGCACCGAAAAGATGCTTGGGGCACTTGCAAGTCACATGCTGATTGACACTGGAGGGCTGAGACTACAGAGGTATGCCAGGGGCAGTGATTTTAGAACGAAGGGAAAAAAATGGAATGAGGATCATGTGGCAAAGATACTAAGAGTTACTTTGATGAGTGGGTGGGAAACAACTAGAGTATAGCTTAGCCTTAGGAGTTACCAAGAGAGTTGAGGGATGTCACCAAGTTTGTGGAGAACACAACGTAAAGTTGTTAAGGCTTCTGGGCCAGTGGGGTCACCCAGGTTTGGGGGTCACTAAAGTAAAGTATGGAGATCTTGGGGTCATGTGAGTCACTGGATTATAAATGAGGGAGTCACTGGGGTTGGTGTGTCCCTGAGATGAGCTCGGTAAATTCTTGGGTTAGCAGTCAATGTGTGATAATTAAGGGTTACCTGGTGAGGTCTTGGGGTCGGTGGGTAGGGTGTGGGGGGGTCACAGAGGTGGAGGCGGGCGCAGTCACGGGGTGGGATTTTGGAGTCATAGGGGAGGAGTCGCAGGGCGGAATGGAGGGGCAGGGACCCTGGGTGGGGGAGGGGCCAGGCCGCAGAGCAGCGGTCCGGCCACCCGGCTAAGGCCGGAGGCGGGTGGGCACGCCGGGCTCGGGACTTTCCAGGGCCCTGCGCCTACCCGGCCTCCCGCCCGGGGCACAGTGGACCCACTCTTCCCGCAGCCACCAACCTGACAGCCCCCGAGGGCGCCTCCGCTGACAGACCGCCATGCACCGGGCCCCGCCACCAGCGCCGGCCCCGCAACCCGCCTGCGCCATAGCCCGCCCGCCCGCGCACAGCTTGCCTCGCGCAGTATCCAGGTTCCAGGGCCGCCGCAATTTCCTCTCCTCTCGGAACGCCTGTACCGGGCCCCGGAACCCGTATAGAAATTACAAGGCACGCTCCACCCCTTCCCCCTTCGCCGCGGCGGCCGTCCCACTTATCCTGGTTCCGGGGCCCCAGGAGCCCGCGCGGCTGGGATCTGAACCCAGCCGCTCGGAGCCCTGCTCCGCTCCCCTGGCAGGGTGACGCACTGACCGCGAGGCCTAGCGCCCAGGGAGGGCGTGATGACGTCACGACGCCCGGGTCAGGTCTGGGGCGCGGCTCTGAGCCCAGTCGTCGCTGTAGCTATCTGGAGCTGCCACCTGTCTTGCCCGAGGACTCGGTCCACCTAAGACCTGAGGCGGGGGCGGGGAAGCCCCTAGGGCCCTGCGTCGTCACGTCTGCTGCCGGCGGGCCTGAAGGTGCGCTTCTGAAGTAGGTAGGGAGGGACAGGTTGTGAAGGAAGCCGTTCCCGCGTGTCTCACTGCTCAGAGCTCAAGAGCCCCCAGGCTTCTACCGGCCGCCCGGGCGCACCCTCAGCACGAACTGTGCGTTACGGCCCGAAGCGCTTTAAAGTGCGCGGTCCGCCAGCATTGCCTACTGACCTTCCAGCCACCTTTTGAAGGAAGCAGTCGTAGGTATTAAAAGCTCCTTATTCAAAAAGACGATGTTGAGGAGCAGTGAGGAACTCGCCTTCTTAGGGAAGGCGCCCTGACGGTCCTCCTGGGTTCTCTAACTCTCAGTCCTTACCAACCCCACCCCGGCCTCAAAACCAGCTACTCCAGCCTGTAGGCTTGCTGCGAGGTGAACAAAACCGATCCCTTTTTATTATTTCCTCCCTCTTAGAAGGAGAGACTAAGATTGGAGAATTTTCAGAAACTTGAGGGAAAATTAAAAGGGAGTTAGCTTTAGGTATAAAATTAAATTTAAAAGGTGACGAATCAGATAAGGAACTGGTAAAGATTGCTTCTTAGGGGAGGAATAGGTGTCTGGAAGAATGAAGTGAGAAACCTCCCTCTCTACCCTTTTAGATTTGTACTCGTTTATTTTGTATTCCCTCCGCACACACACCCGATTTAACTTAATAAAAATAATTTTAAAAGGAAATAAACTAGAAAGTAAGTACTGGTTTTGGGGCCTGTGGTAGTTAAAGATGCTTTTGGGAGCACAGATATCCTGTTCCTCTCCTCCCATCTCTGAAGAGCTGCCCAGAAAGCCTCCTGTTAAGTCTTAGATGTCCCCTTTTCCCGATCTTGGCACTGCATTTCTAGAAGTGGGACTGGGACCAAAGTTCTCAGGTTATCAGTTTAGGTAGGCAGTGAGTGACAATTGTTGATCCGTTGCTACGATTAACAATCTTTTTTTTTTTTTCTAAGAGGGTCTCACTCTGGCCCAGGTTGGAGTGCAGTGGTGCCAACATAGCTCACAGTAGCTTCCAACTCCTGGGCTGAAATGATCCTCTGCTTCAGCTTCCCAAAGTGCTAGGAATATAGACACACCGTCCCCAGCCAATTAATTAATCCCGTATATACATCCCTGGATAGAAATAAACGCCTGACTACTGTGGTGCCCTCTTTCTGTTCCTTTTTGATAGAAGTTTGACAAGTTATTGCTTGTAGAAATATTTTATAGTATGAACAGCAGAGAATAAAACTCAGGGTGTACCTGAGTTTGTCCCTCACCACCTCCACACCATCCTTTTTCCACAGTAAAAATTACCTTTGTCTTTTCCTACATTCCCTGCAAATCCAAATCACTTTTGCCTACACATTTAACAAAAACTGTGGGAAAATAATGTCTGAAACTGAAGTATTGGTTCTAATGATGGATAATTTCATATCCTCAGAATTGGTAAGGAAAATATTTGGGGTGGAATATTGAAGATCATTT